AAGCCGTCCCAAACCATATCTAAATATTAATTTCTAAAAAAAAAATTTTGTCCTTAACGAGTTCAAAATCTACCAATATTTGCGCTTCTAATAAAACGTGATTAATAATAGGAATTCAGTGTCATCATACAAAAATAGTGTCTTTAAATTTATAACTCATAATTTTACTAATGATTTTCTATATATATTTTAATAGATTAAAGGTCCGTATTTTTTAAACCATTGTAGCATTTTGTAAAGGTGATTGTGAAATTATTATGAAAAAAATATTTTTTTAATATTTTAGATATATTATAAATATGTTCTTTAAAAAAAAAGAGAATAAATGTCTTCTTAAAGTTACAATATATTAACAACTCTGGATATAAAAAAGTTTCATATATTAGATTTTTTTGTAAAGCGTTGAGAAAATAGTAAGAAAATAATAGCAAAAAATAAAATAGATAGAAAGCACCACCAAACCAGAGATCGAGATTATTACGTGCGAAGTTCGGATATAGAGAACCGTTCGATTTTATTACTGTGAACAGTAAAAGCATAGTGATAAATAATAACTGTGATTTATTGTTTACGGTCACAAAATCGAATGGTTCACAATCACAAAATCTAACGGTTCTCTATGTCTGGACCCCACACGTAATAATATCTCCCCAAACCAATCCTAAATTATTGCAAAACATACAAGTTGAACATTTTCTTAGAATTTATTTTTCAAAAGTCTCTTTTTGAAAAAGAATATTAATTATGAGTTATAAATATTCTTCATAAACTTGCCATTAGAAACTTGTTCTTCTCTCTTTCAAACTCAGCAAATTTTACAAAGAAAATTTTTTTTGCATCATGAGCTCTTTCTATATTTTTATATTAAAAATGTAAGATATCTATTAAAAAATGAATAGTTTAACGTAAGATAAATAAAATATTTGATTATAAAATTTTCTTCTAATGATTTTATAAGACGATTCATTGCTACATACTATTGACTATGATTATACTTTACATTTTATTTATTTTATTTCAAATAAAAAATTATTTTTTATTTATTTTACATTAGTCCAAATAAGTCAAAAAATTTGAAATAATTGCATTATTTTTCACCAAGCATTTCATTTTACTCTGTATCATTTATTTTCAACAATTCGAATAACCTCTCAATTAAAAACTATCATATTATTAAAAATTAGTTTACATTCAAAAGGAAATTTTAATTTCATGAAGCTCAACAAGCATGGAAATTTATAACTAAACAAATAAAGGAACAAAAGGGTCACAAACCCTAGAAATATTCCTTTGGTAGGTAGTCTCTCAATCATGACATGAGGAAGCTCAGATGATTGGATTAGCATTTATCATAAACATAACAATCACTAGTGCGGACCCCACAACCAAGTCCTAAATTAGAGTGTGGGCCAATCAACTTGCTAAGTTGTGTGGGGGCCACCTCAAGCATGCAGCTCAATGGAGCAAAAAAATGATTAGGTTTAATTGGTTCTTGAGGATTCAACAACATTAGTCATTAGTGATATGAAGGGTGTGTTTAGACCATTTTTTCATATTTTATTTTATAAATATTTGATATATTTTTATTTTGCTATGAGTTTTTTTTAAATTAACTATAATTTTTTTTACGAATATTATGATTATTTCAAAATTAAAGTTTTGTTTGCAACAATTTTTTACTACTTTATATAGCATATTTTTAGTATTTTTTTTACTAAAAAACTGTTTTAAGAAGCAGTAAGAAAGCTGTTCCAAACTAAGGCTTCGTTTGGGACAGCTTTTTTATTGCTTTCTAAAACGGTGTTTTAGTTAAAAAATAAAAAAAATTTGTACTAAAACTCCGTTTTAGGATGCAATAAAAAAACCGTCCCAAACGAAGCCTAAGTCAAAGTCTATCCTATTATTATTATTCATCTTTCATGAAAAACAATATAGAATAATTTAAAAAAACTAGAGATTTTCTATAAAAATTTTACAAATGATTTCAGATGGATCGAAAGAAAAGAATCTCTTGATGAATTCGAAGTTGCAAAGCATTATGAGAGCATTCTCACGAATTTTTATTGCGTCCTCCCACCTGATGTAGAGATACGACCTCCCACCTCCAAAAAACTCGGTTTTTGCTCGGTATTGCTAGGTATTATTTGATAATAACGAGGATTATCATCATGTGAAGACCAATACCGAGTTATACCGAGCTATACCGAGCAATACAAAAAAATACCGAGTTTTTTGCTCGGTATTGCTCGGTATAACTCGGTATTGGTCTTCACATGATGATATTCCTCGTTATTGTTTGGCATTGCTCGGTATTTCTTATTTTTTAGCGCGAATTTAGCTCTGAGAGGACGTATCTCTACGTCAGGTGGGAGGACGCAATAAAAATCCCATTCTCACAGAGTAAAGCTGATGTTTTCACTTGTTAGTAATTATTCTGATAATTCTTCTCAATCCATATGGGATTCAACAAAATTGAGCTTGTAAGTGTTCTTGGGTTATTTTCAATAACATTTTTTTAGAGTGTATGCAACATTTCTTGAATCGCCAACAAATGATTCTAGAAGAGTATAAAGGCTTCGTTTGGGACGATTTTTTTATTGCTTTATAAAGTTATTTTTTAATATAAAAATCTCTTGAAAGTTAAAAAAAAAAAAATCAGTGATATAAAGCTGTCCAAACAAAGCCAAAGTCTTTTATAAAAATTAAATAGGTTCCTCAATAAGTTTGAGAAAAAAATTTATCAAAGAACAAATATAAGTAATAACCCTAGGGATTGATTAGATGATATTAGTTATTGGCTCTTTAGAGTTTAGAGGCTATCAAAATAACATCAATTTTTTGGCACTTTAGTCTTCAGTGATTGAGAGGCCGACACTAGTTTATGCTCTTCAGCGATTATATTAAGTAAATTATCTCACATATTCTATATTCAGCTTGCTTATTACAGGTTCTATTTTTGGGTTTAGAATAAGATGTTTTCTTTTTAGCTAATTCGTCAAGAACAGAACTTGTTGTTTCACGTGAAGAATAAGAAAAAATTCTTACAAGTGGTATTAGAGCTAAGAAGGAGAAATGTCGATGCAAAAGTTCAACATTGACAAGTTCACTGCAGAGAATGACTTCAGCCTGTGGCAAATCAAAATGAAGGCATTGCTGGTGGATCAAGGAGTTGATGACATTTTAGCAGAAGGGTTGATTGTGATCACTAATAGAGTCAAAGGCAAGGAATTATAGCTAAAAGCACACAGTGCAATCTAGCTTTTATTGGGTGATGAAGTTTTGAGAGAAGTTGTAGAAGAAGAGTCAGCATTGGAGGTATGGCAAAAGCTGAAGTCACTGTTCTTGAAGAGATCCATAGCAAATCAATTGTTCATGAAAAAGGAATTGTATACTCTTCAAATTGAAGAGTAGAATGATATGAGAAAACACATGGATGAGTTTAACCAGATAATTCTTGATCTAAAAAATGTGGATGTCAGGATCGACAATGAAGACTAAGGAATTATTCGGCTTAGCTCCTTATCAAAGATATATGAACACATTGTAGACACAATGTTGTATGGGAAGCAAATATTAACAATGACATAGTTGAAATCTATCTTGATGTCGAAGGATGTTCAGAGGAGGTCTGAACAAAAGGAAGAAAAGACAACAGATAGACTGTATGAGCGGGGAAGACCGGAATACAAGAACAACATGAACAATAAAGCAAACCAAAATCGAACAAGATCAAAGTTAAGAGTTGCAAGAAGGTGCTTCCATTGTCATAAAGAAGGTCATTATATGCGAGATTATCCAGATAGGCAAAAAGGCAATCAGAGAGATCAGGTGATGAAGCTAATGCAGGAATTAGAGAAGCTCAGATGGGTATAAATCATCTAAGATTCTGGTTACTTCTAAAAAAGGCTCAAGAAAAGAATGGATAATAGATTATGGGTGCTCGTTCCATAGAATGCCTAATCAGCATTGGTTTCAAGAATTAAGATTGAAAGATGGAGGCTCCATCTTATTGGGAGAGATGCATGACGGATGTATCAGGACTTTGCAACGTGTGAGGTACTTTCCAGAACTCAAGAGAAATCTAATTTATTATGGGATGTTTGACGCAGATGTCTGCAACATGAAGATTGAAAAATTTTTAATTTATTGTAAGAAGCTTGAGCGAAGGTAATCATCTTTGGAGCGCTTTCTCCTTTTGACGTGCTTCTTTTGCAAATCCCACAATGAATTTTTTTGGCGCAGGTGAACAGTCCGACGTCAATATTGATGTTGCACTGTTCATCTACTGGAATTTGTCATGCGATTTGGAGTTCGAATAGAGCAAATGGCGGAAGACATAGGATGATATGGAGTTTGGTTGGAGATGGTCTAAACAAATTCCCATAGACCACTACAGTAGAACTCCGACTTGACGAACCCATGGCAGGCGCTCTTTCACGCCACACGCTCTGCCCGCAGGAATGGGAGAGGATGATTTTAAAATTCGAGTGGCAGAGACCATTGAGGTCGACGAGACAACCGGTCGCCATAGAAATGCCGCCAGAGGAAGCGGTGGAGGAAGTTGGAGGGACGAGCATGGGACGGTTGTCGCCGTCAAAGAGGTTGACGGCGAAGAAATCCATGCCAAAGCTTCCGTTGAGGGTGAATTCCGAAAATATGACCCATTAACACGTCATCCGTTATCCAAAACCGTGTCGGAAATCCGACCCGAAAATCCTAAGACGACCCCGTCCTACCGGCTACAGCCGGTTATCCACCGGCTGCGCCGAAGCGCATCCCAGTCCAAAAATTAGCTCTTTTATTCGCTGGCCCCTCGCATTAATGGCGAAGATCTTCCTCCTTCGCCTCCTCTTAAGTCATATCTCCCTCCGTATTTCTTCCGAAAACATTCTCGCCCAACTTTCATCTCCTTATCTGAAACCCCCCATTCTGCTCTCTGTTTTTGGGAGACTAGGTTGAAGAGGAAGCTAAGTTTGTATCTGAAAGTTCAAAGTCGTGATTCGGGCTCCTTCCGGCGTGGACGGCCAATATGGCCGGAGAAGAGCTCCGTCGGCTCTGTAGCGAAGGTGGGTGGACATACGGCGCACTCTGGTGCAACGATTGCAGTGATCCACGGTGAGTTAGGGCATTGGTTTCTTCGTCTACTTTGTGTCGTCATCGATTTTTTTTTTTAAATTACTTTGCTTTATCGATACTGTGCAGTATATATCTTCGACTCTTCCGTGTTCTTTTTTTTTTTCGTATTGTAGCAATTTGAACAATTTGAACAAAATGGCTGTCTTTTTAATAATTTTTTTCCAAGTAGATGAGCCAGTCTTCCAAATTCCGAAGTGTGAGGTTAGGTTTACATTTTTTGTGTTTATTCTTATTTTGTTTGTTGATAAATGCTCTAGTTTTCTGGGAAATGGTTAAACTACTTCGATTATCGTTTAGGTTGAGAAGCGTTTATTCTGTTTTTTTTTTTTTTTTTCCTTTGCTTTTTTTTTTTCGTTTTCGTTTTTTTTTTTTTTTTTTGAAAGTTTAAAAGCCTATATTAAATATTTATTTAATTTAAAATAGAGCAGAAGATCATGAGTGGCACGAGGTCGAATTCCACGGAGTTTGAGAACATTTAACTTTTAAACTCTGTTACTTTACTCTTTGGTGACATTTTGCTTTACTTTATTGGTACAGTGCAGTATCTTCTGCTCCATGGATTGGATCTTTCAGTCTTCCATGGATTTGTTTTTTAGCTAAGTTTCAGCATCTTTTTTGTTTAATTCGCAGTTGGTTTGCAGCGATTTTAATAAAAAAAGGTTGCTTTTTATAATGGTTTTACTGTGGAGAAGTCAGCAAGTCTCTCCTGAAATGCGATATTAGTGTAAGATAATTGAGTGATTACCATTGATAAATGCTCTATTTTTCAGAGAAGTGGTTGTATATTTTTGCTTTATTGGTGCTTTGCGGTCTATTCTTCTCTTTGCAACGAATCATACCGTCTTTAATGGTTCTTTTCAGTATCTCTTTTGTCCAATTCATATTTCTTTTGTTGCAAATTTAACAATTTTGTCGTTTTTTATTATGTTTTCCCTGTGTAGCGAGTGAGTTTCTTCTGATATGTGAAGTTAGCGTTACATTATTTTTTGCTTATTCGAATTTTGTTTGTTGAATTCTGTGAGAAATGGATGAATTTCTTCGATTGTCGTGCAGGTTAAGCAAATCCAATCCAATTAAATAAATGATAGGCTTAACAAATCTTATCCTTTTTCAAAAAAAAAAAAGCTTTTTAACTTTAAACAATCAAATGAGACCTTATATGAAAGTAAAATTTCATTTTTGATAGATTTTAATTCTTTTGCAGATTTTACCCATATTATTTTTTAGCTACATCCAGCAAAATAATTAAATTGAATGAATTGAATATTTTTCTAACTAAACTCAGCCAAAGAAGCCCACTACTGTGAGGTTACTGTTTTTCGTGCTTATTCCTATTTTGTTATCTTTAAATTCTCTATTTATCTCGATTGTCGTGTAGTTTTAGTAAACCTTTGGGGGCTCCATGCTTGAAAAAAGGCAGCTTTTTTGATGAATTACTTTCACTGTTTGTTTTCTGTAAATAATGAATATTTTGTCGATTTATTTTGCATTCAATGCACGCTACTGTGAAGTTTTTTTTTTTTTTTTTTGGGGAAAATACTGTGAAGTTATCAAGTTTGTACTTTTTTTTTTTAAGTTCTTACTATTCTGATAGTGTTGTAGCTCTAAATTTTGTGGATTTGCTAGGATCACACTGCATCCTAATCTTAAGAATTATTGTTGGTTATAAAGTTGCGATTTTTGTTGGGATTTTTAGTTTTTTTTTTTAGTTATAAAATTCACTAAGATTCCTCTGATTTCCAGGATGCTTGTGTTGGAGGAAAGTTACCATGAAGAACAGAGTGGGAAGATTTTTGAGAAGGTGGTGAATCAGGTCCATGTGATTGGGCAAGGGTATGAATGCAAATTTTGTAAACTCAATCCAAATATTTTTGCCTTCCTTTAGCCTGTATTTGCTCAGAATTTTTGCATCATCTGTTGGTAGGGCTGCAAACAAACCAAGTGTTCAACGAGCTGCTCATGATTCGTCATGATAAGAATTTGTTCATGTTAGTTTGGTAACGTAAATGGACGGGTTTGAAAACTTTTAATAAATACTCGAGAGCTAAATAAACTAGCTTGAAGAGCTTAACATTCGGTTTGTTTGTGTTCACTAACAATATCATTTAAATCATACAAACAAGCTTGTTAAGAAGCTCGATTAGAGTTTTGAAAATAAATATTATTAAATTAGTTTAATTATTTAAATATTTAATTAATTTATTTTTTAATTCCCGAATTCCGCTCCATTTTTCGATGTCGTTGTCTGCTGTTTGCTCCAACTCACGCATGAGGAAAAAAAACATGTTCGCTTATTCCCACACAGTGCAAGAGAACTAGATTTTGCTCTATATAATGATAGATATTGGGAGTTTGTTTGAAAGCTGGCGGATGGGTCGGGTCTACTGAGAAGTCTAGAAGACGGGTTGGCAAGCCCAATAGGGTTGAACGGCGGACGATCCGCAAACCGCTTGATTGAAAAAATAAATAAATTTATTTTCTTATTAGGCTCGATCTCGTTAATAGGCTTGACAAGCTTAAATGAACCTAACACGAATTGAGCTCAAACATGACATTTTTAAACGAGCTTGAGCTTGAACAGGTATACGAAAGCATGAATCTTATCGAATCAAACTGAAACACGATATTGGCAAACAAGCTCGAACTTGAACAAACCGAAGCTCAGCTCGGCTCGGCTCGGCTCGGTTGCAACCCTATATGTTGGTATTCAGCATCACAAACATTTGTTCTTACTGTCTTGCCATCTTATTTTTAACTTTGATTAATATATTACTCTATTTAGTGTTATTCTTAATATGATGATAATATTTAGTTAAGCAAAATATCATCTTAAATCTTTATAAATATCCCTTATATTCAATTGTTTACAAAAAAAAAAAAAAAAAAAAAACATTAAATGTATTTTATTTTGTTATCTTTGGAGAAAAAAACACTTTTTTAATTTTGTTTGATTTTCTCATAAAGAATAATCAATATAAAAAATATTATTAAAGCAAAAAATATAAATATTTATTTTATGAAAAAAAGTACCATGATTATTCAGTACAATATGAGTTGTTACAAGACTCCATAATAGGCAACATAAATTAAAGAAACTTCATTGTCAAAAAGATCAACACTTTGATATTGACCGCAGAAGGTAAATATTTTTTGAACTATAAATCATAACTTGCTGAGCAAAGAGCTTTACTTAAATGAGTCATTTTAGTATTATATTGTGCCTTTTTTTAAGTATACTTCTCTTTTACGACAAAAAAGGATTAATTTTCATGCACTGTTTATTTAAATTTTTTGTGAAGAACCATTGGAGAAGTAGCCATAAGTGGAAACCACCGGTGGATAATTTTTGATACAATTTGTATGGAATCAAGTGAGACGAGCTCTACTAACAATCCAGTCATATTCCAGGTACAGATTTTTATTTGCCTTCTTCCTCTTCTTCTTCTTCTTCTTTCCCCTCAGTACTTGTCTGGTTATTTTTGAAGTTTTTTTCTTTTTTTTTTTGTCATTATCAGGGTAGGGCTGAGTGGCAAGATCAGATTTTGGCTGGAATAAAGGTTTGTTATTGAAGTAACCTTCTTGATTTCTTATCAGTTTAATTCTCATTTTTCTGATAACAGTATTTTGCATTGGCCGAGAGCATGTTGGTGCTCTAGTATTTTAAACATTTTTGCCACTGGTCCACTATTCAAATAGATTCTCAAATTTTGTCATCATTGATTTTACAGACAATAGCAGTGATTCCTCTGCCCTCATTAGGAGTGCTTCAAGTTGGTTCCACCAGAAAGGTTAGTGCTTCAGATTCTCAGCACTGATATTTGACCATAAGTTTTTGTTCTCGCATGGTTTCGGACAGGTTAAGTATTCCAGTGCTTTTAAGAAAGAATGTTGAATTTGTGTTAAGAAAATAAATATGTTTATGATAATAACTTCATTACGCAGCTTGTTTTGATTTGTTGGTTAGGAGTTTAAGCTATCAGCCAAAAAATTTTGAGTTGGTCCGTTGGAGTGTTGTGTTTGAGTTTGTATTAACTGACCTAAATGTCCCCCTAAAAAAATACTAAGGTCATTGAAATAAATTAATTGATAAGTGTTAAAACGGAGAATTTGAGAGCGAAAAGCTTGAATTTTATTATGCAATCTACTCCCTATTTATAGATCTATACAAGGTGTATTGATAAGGAAACAAATAACTCTTATAATAATGAGAATACAATTATTCCTAAATCAATGGAAGGAATTAATGCTATACAGGTAGTCTTCCCACGGATTATTGTTCTCAACCGTTGATATCTTTGGGATCGTAAGGTTGAGATTTAACACTCCCCCTCAAGCTGGGAAGTATGGATCCGTCATTCACAGCTTGTCAATCATTCGGAGAAAGGCAGAATTGTCCAATCCTTTAGTAAGGATATCTGCAAGTTGATCCTTTGATGGTACATGATCAACACTTACTAGACCACTGTCTAGTTTTTCTTTAATAAAATGTATGTCCACTTCTATAAGCTTGGTTCTGTCGTGCTGGACTGAATTGTGGGCTATGCTGATTGCTGATTTGTTGTCACAATGTAGTTTCATGGGCTCATCCCACTTAACCTTTAAATCATTTAGGATTATTTTGATCCATAGTAGCTCACATATTCCCAAGGCCATAGCTCGATATTGTGCTTCTGCACTGGATCTTGCCACCACATTCTGTTTCTTGCTTCTCCATGTAACTAGGTTACCTCTAAGAAATGTACAATACCCAGAAGTAGATCTTCTATCAACCGGTGATCCTGCGTAGTCAGCATCCGTGTATACTCCTAGGGTTATTCCACGATCTCTCTTAAAGAGAATTCCTTTTTCAGGTCTTCCTTTAAGGTAGTACAAGATCCTGTCTACCGCTTGCATGTGAATCTGCTTTGGATTCTGCATAAACTGACTAACCATGCTTACAGCAAATGCTATGTCTGGTCTGGTGTGGGAGAGGTAGATTAATTTCCCCATAAGTCTCTGATAGGCTCCTTTGTCTACATCTGGATCTTCTTTAGTTTCTCCCAGTTTAAGATTAGGTTCTACTGGTGTTGGTGCTGGTTTACAGGCTAGTTTACCTGTTTCTCTTAGAAGATCTTTGATGTATTTCTGTTGTGAAATGAAGATTCCTTTACTGGAGTGAGCTACTTCAATTCTGATGAAATATTTTAGTCTACCAAGTTCTTTGATGACAAATTCCTTAGTAAGACTTTTCCTTAAGCTGGCTTTCTCCTCTTCATTATTTCCAGTCAAAATAATATCATCAACATACACTAATAATATTGTGACTCCCCCCGAGTCTGAGTGTTTGAAGAATAGTGTATGATCCCCTTGACTCTGTTGATACCCATTCAGAAGCATGAATTTAGAGAATCTTCCAAATCAGGCCCTTGTTGATTGTTTGAGCCCATATAGAGCTTTTTTCAGTTTGCACACTTTGTTACCTTCAGATTTTTCTTTAAACCCTTGTGGTATTTCCATAAATATCTCTTCTTCTAAGTCTCCATGCAAGAATGTATTTTTCACATCCAGTTGTTCCAGGTGCCAATCGTACTTGGCTGATAGTGAGAGAAGTATTCAGACAGTATTCATCTTGGCTACAGGCGCAAACGTTTCTTGGTAGTCAATGCCATATGTTTGGGTAAACCCTTTTGCCACCAGTCTTGCCTTATATCTCTCTAGTGTGCCATCAACATTGTATTTTACTAAGAACACCCATTTGCAGCCGATCGATTTTTTCCCTATCGGTAGATTGACGATCTCCCAAGTTTTGTTCTTCTTCAGGGCCTGCATTTTATCCTTCATGGCATTTTTCCAATTTTTATCAGATAAGGCGTTAGAAACATCTTTAGGAATATGTATATCTTCTAATGTAACAAGGAAATTTTTGTGTGATGATGAGAAGTTGTTGAAGGATATAGAGTTGTTTATAGGGTATAAGGGAGGTGGTGAACTTACCTTATTTTCAGGAGATGGTTCAGATTCTTGGATCTACTTTGGAGTACAGCTTGAGCTTGTACATCTGGAGTAAACCTTTCCTAATCTAATAACGTTGTCATTTGTTTCCCTTTCTTGGGTTTCAGGTGGATTGTTCTGAGGCGGAGGAGGAAGGTCAAGAGGTGTTAGTTCATTTTCCTCATCTTCCTCAAGTTCAGTCTCCCCCTGAAGATGAGTTTTTGAAAAATAGGAATCATGTTCAGCAAAGGTAACATCAATAGAGACAAAGGTTTTTCTTGTGGATGGATGATAACACTTATACCTTTTTTGGGTAGCAGAGTAGCCAACAAAGATGCATTTGAGTGCTCTTGGATCTAATTTTCCTCGCTCCTGGCTGTGGATATGAACATAGGCAGTGCACCCAAAGATTTTGGGTGTAAGATTATGATGAGTTCGAAACTCTGGGTAAAAGGAGGATAAGGTCTCCATTGGAGTTTTTAGGCCTAAGGTTGTTGAAGGTAGGCGGTTTATGAGATATGCTGCAGTTAAAAGAGCTTCCCCCCAATAGGATTTGGGTGTATTGTAGTGAAATAGGAAAGCTCGGGTGGAAGCTAGAAGGTGACAATTTTTCTTCTCTGCAACCCCATTTTGTTGTGGGGTGTGAACACATGACTCATGGATGATCCCTTCACTCTGGAAGTAGGAGGAAAGGGTAGTTGAAATAATCTTTGGCATTATCGGAGCAGAAACTCCTTATTTTTACCCCGAATTGATTTTTGATCATGGAATGAAAGATCGGAACAATGGTGCTAACATCGGATTTCTGTTTAAGGAGATAGATCCAAGAGACTCTAGTGCAATTCTCAATGAATGGCACAAACCAGCATTCCCCAGAGATATTGGGAATTTTAGAGGGTCCCCAAATATTACTATGAATAAGGAAGGAAGGCATAGCACATCTCTCACTGCACATCTCTCACTTTTGTTTGGGAATGAGGTTCTTTTATGCTTAGCCAACTCACAGGTTTCACAATGAAAAATTTTATTGTCTAATTGATGAAAAAGTTGTGGATACATATATTTTAAGACATCAAAAGATGAGTGTCCTAGTCTATAATGATGAAGCCAAATAGTGGATTTCCTATCGACTAGAGGTAACAAAGAGAAACTCCTTTTATATTAGTTTGGTTCTTCCAGGTAGTACAATCCTGTTTTCTCCTTAGTAAGTCCAATCTTCTTCCCCGATCTCTGGTCTTGAAATAAGCAATAAGAAGGGTTAAACAATGCTTGATAATTATGGTCATTGGTAAGTTTTTGTATTGATATCAGGTTTGTGGATAATTGTGGTACGTGGAGCACATTTTTTAGGGTGAGGGATGGAGATAATATGATGTCTCCTTGGTCAGCTATCGTGGTAAGAGAACCATCAACACTGATGATTTTTTGTTGTTTGGGCAAGGAGTATAATTTATGAGGTGGTTTGGTGAGTGGGTCATATGATCTGTGGCTCCTGAATTAATGATCCATAATTCCTTTAAATGATTTCTTGAAGCCTTAAACTAATAGAAATTGGAGTCTTACCTAAGAGTGCAAGTGAAGAAGAAGCATTTGGTTTTTCAAGAGATACCAGGAGTCGTTTCAATTTATCAATATCTTCTTTGTTGAATTCTCCAAGGCTGGACTGAGCTTCTAGCTTACTTGTAGTGTTGTTGGCATGTGATGTGCTCCTTGTCTCACCTTTTTTATTTCACTCTTTGCTGGGGGTTTTTCATGTATCTTCCAGCATGTTTCTTTTGTGTGTCTTGACTTTTTGCAATAGCTGCACTACAGTGAGTCTTTATCTTTGAATTTTGAAGAATCTTTACTTTTCTCCTTCCACGATGATTCTTTGTTCATCACCATTGCTGAGCTTTCAATAACCTTTGGTTCTAACATCACTCCTCGTCGACTTTCTTCTGCGCGGATGAGAGAAATGGTTTCGTTGAGTGATGGCGTCTCCTCTTTGCCAAGGATCTGAACTCTAACTTGGTCAAATTCTGCATTTAGTCCTGCAAGAAAATCATAAACTCTATCTTTTTCAATAAAGTTCTTTAAGACGTCGCATCTTCCGGACATCTGGTTTCTATGCACCTATAGTGATCAAGTTCATGTCACAGATTTTGTATGATGGTGGCATACTCCGTCACGGTCTTACTCCCCTGCTTCGTGCTTCCAACTTTGACTTTAACTTCAAAGATTTGGGCCGCATCACGAGCTTTGTAGTAGGTTTGTCTGGCAGCATCCCATATGTCCTTTGCCGTTGAAAGGAACATAAATATATCACTAATTTTTGGAGTCATGGAATTCCATATCCATGACATAATCATGGAGTCTGCTTCATCCCATGCCCCAAATTTGAGATCTCCTTCTTTTGGTCCTTCTCCAAGGAGGTGATGTATTTTACCTTTCTCCTTCAAGTAGGTCTTCACAAATTGAGACCACTTCAGGTAGTTCTTCCCATTTAGACGATATGAAGGTTGCATGCTTTGAAGGTCACCTCGTCCTTGGTGCACCATCAATTCCTCAGTTTGATCAACACTTTGAGAGGAGTTAATTTCTGACATTGGAAAGCAATTAAGGCTTCCTAGAAATTTCTTGTTCGACAATAAAGGTCGAAAGATAAAGAGTTTTTTTTTCTCTCCTTTTTTTTAATTTTTTTTTTATATATAGAGAAACAAAACACGAACCGGCGAAGCCTTATAGAAGGCTCGGTTTGGACTTAGGGCACGGACTCGATTCCACCCCCAAGTCGCACGCAGGCGTGGATCGGTCGACTTCCCCAAGTCGCACGCAGGGGGGGTTCGAACAGGGCGATCGAGCGGTCGACTTCCCAAGTCGCACGCGTGGATCCGTCGACTTCCCCCAAGTCGCACGCAGGGCGATCGAGCGGTCGACTTTCCCTTTCTTGGATCGGGTGATTCTTCTTCGGCTCCTTCGACTCCTATGTGGCTGTTCGATTAGGCTCCTTCGGCCTTCCTCTCGGATCGGAAGTTCCAATCAGAAGTTCCGATCGAGTCGCACATTCCGTCCGAGTCTGCAACGATCAAGTTTTGGATGCCCCGAGCTTCTACTTTTCTCTTTCTCCTCCGACGATCTAGGATCGTTGTTCTTCGACGGCAATTAAGGCCGTTGGCTCTGATACCATGTTAAAACAGAGAATTTGAGAGTGAAAAGCTTGAATTTTATTATGCAATATACTCCCTATTTATAGATCTATACAAGGTGTATTGATAAGGAAACAAATAACTCTTATAATAATGAGAATACAATTATTCCTAAATCAATGGAAGGAATTAATGCTATCCAGGTAGTCTTCCCACGGATTATTGTTCTCAGCCGTTGATATCTTTGGAATCGTAAGGTTGAGATTTAACAATAAGAAACTGCTATATAGTTGCAAGAAGCACCACTGTTATGAACAGTTCTTTTAGAATATTTTGTGAGTACTAATAATAATAAGATTTAATCCCACTAGGTGAGTCTGCCGGCGGCTGCCGGCCGTCACCTTTGCCCCCAGCAGCCGCCGACCATCACTGTCGACTGCCAGCCACCACTATTGCCGACCACACACCACTTCTGCATGTTTCTTTTTCAATCTTTCTAGCATAATAATTGCCCAAAAAGATAAATATTTTATTGTTGATTATTATAGCATGGAGTTAAGAATGCTAACGTCGAAGCATGAGATTCTAGTCCATGGCTCAAGAGCAGTTTTACTAACATCATCATTATGGGAAATCATATATGCACTAGTAGAGTTGCAGTCGTCTGATCACCCCTAAAAAATCAGACAATATATCCATGTACACTGAGAAAAAAGTATGCGGGAGTATTTAAATAGCAATCAAACAATAGAAATTTAGAAATTTCAATATGACCTTTAGTGAAACTTAGAAATTATTCTTATAGCCATACCACTTACGTCGGAGCATATGTAATGCACTGCAAAACATATAAGAAACACCCCTGCATCAAAAGCCCCATGATTACAGCATGATACACATAGTGCATACTTGATAATTTGCATGTCTTTTAAGAGAAAATACAAATTATGATCAACAATCCACACAATATCAGGCTTCGTTTCGAACCGCTTTTTTACTGTTTCTTTAAGCAGTTTTTTTACTAGAAAGCTGCTTTTAGAAGGAATGAGAAAGTCATTCCGAATGAAGCTTTAGTTTGACAAATTTTGTGGAAGTTCTTGCCAAAATTGGCATTTGTAGTAGGATTGACTTATTTCAAGAAAAGAAAAGGATAAAGAAATTTATTTGTTTGTGCCGCAGAATTGATGGGAACATTTTTTGAGGAATAAGATTTTACCAATTTAAGAAGATTTATCTGCTCTTTACTGAATGGAAATGATTCAACTTCATGAACTGTAAAAATATTTTGCTATGTGGGTTTGGTGGATCTGCCATTGGGTTGTTTGCAGTATAATTTATAGCATGTTTCTCTTATATGACAAGATTTCCCATAATAAACACAACTCATTTTTTTTTTTTTTTGCTTAATTGCGTTGCTTTGAATGTGCCTTGCGATTGAACGATGCTTCAGGAATAGCCAATACAGAGCCTCCCCCCAATGGGTCCAATACCTCTAATGGTTCTTTTTTAAAGCATCATTTCTCTACAACTTTCTTCTCTATGCACCTCTGCAAAGATTCATCCAATTAGGAGGGGATTTTTTCCAATCATTCAACCTTGAACTTCTTCGTATTCAATGTTTAAACATGTAAGAAACTTAAAGATACGACCAACTATAACCTTTTTTTTATAATTATTATAATCTTTGGATTATTTCCACTCGTAATCATTAAATAAACTTAGTCTTGTTAATTGTTTTAAGAGATGAAATATTGTGTTAGAGAATCCTTACTTCGGCGAATCTGCTCAAGTCATAGAGTTAACTCAAATGCATGAACAGGAGCAAAGTTAAAGTTTTTATTAGTGAGGATACAAATTGATGATTTTCAAATTATTCTCAATTATTTTTGAATGATTTTTTTACCTTTTTATTTAATAGTTCATTTTGAAATAATATTTTTGATCTTTCTAAAACATTAATATAATTTTAATAAGTTATTACATTCTACATTTAAGTAAAAAAATAATAATATTTGAATTGTGGCTCAATGGATTGCATTAACTCATGAAACCTTACATTATGGGTTCGAATCCTAGAGGATGTTGCAGTTTTGATTTTAAAAGTATGTTGCGGGCATTTAATTGCTATGCAGTTTTATTAATGGGCCAGTGGGGGCCTATGCCCTTAGGTAGTGGTGCAAACGATCGAGTCGAGTTCTAGTCAAGCGTAACTCGAGCTCGACTTACGAGCCAAATCCTGAGTTGAGTTGAGCTCAAAAGGCGAGCTCGAGCTCAGCTCATGCCACTGAAAAACGAGCTTGTGAGCCTTCCGCATTCTCAAAAGGCGAGCTCGAGCTTGAGCCAGCTCGGCTCACTTGCACCGTTTTCCACGGCAAATTATTACGTATGGTGTCTGGATTCGTTCGGACATCAATCCAGACGTGCCATGTCACCCAAATGCACCGGGCCCTGATGTATTTGGGTGACGTGGCGCGTTTGAATTGGATGTCCGGACGTCCGGTGACCGGACGTAATAATTCACCCTTTCCCACAGGACCTCCACTATAGATCCACCGATGTGCGCGAAATTGATTCTCCTAATCTGAGTACATTTTTGTTAAATATTATACTACAAATCTTTGGTAATGGAATAACACATAGTTTACACTTATCTTCTCGATCATGGAGTTTACTAACCATGTCATTATCATGTAGTTTTTTTGCATCCCAAGTAGCATAGGTTGTACCTTCATGTTCAGCTTCATATGTCTAGTGATCTAGCCTAAACCCTAAACAATACATAAAATAGGATGGAAAAAAAACTGAAGGGTTTGGTGCCCACATCCTAGCCGATTCCTGAATCTGGCTAAGGCAGATAGATACAGAGAGAGGTAGGACTGGACTGTTTCAACAAAAAACAATCAAGTCTAGTACAACATGTCTGCTTAATTTCCTAATTATATCCTGAATTATCTTATTTTCGTGTTCCAGATCGGCGAAAGTTCAGACTTCATTGCACAAGCTCAGCATTTGTTCTGGCAGTTTCGAATCAAGCAACGTCGATGTCTTCTTGAAGATATGAACTTTTCTCATCCACAAACCACATTTGATTCTGTAATTTCTCCTCGGGATTACTCACATGATAGTATATGCGAACAAAGACAGGACAATCATTTATCTTCAGAATTTGCATCACTGGCCTCAGGACTTCTGTCCAGTTCTCAAACAAGCAGCCTGAAGCCCCATGCTTTTTCAATGCCTGAATCCATTTCATCAGGCCCTTTTAATGGTCACAGAAATCTCTGCAATGGTATACCTTCCTTCAGTAGTACCTCACATCAAGTGATAGATCAACAAGGAACTTCTACAAAAGTCCCAATATTGTTGCCACCCAGCAACTGGGAACAACACTCAAATTTCAAATCGAACATGTGGGCTGAAGATATTGATTCTTCCTCTTATATGGAGAATAATCTCTTCCCTACCATGGCCATACCAGGAGTTTTCAACGTGATTCCAACAACTTTACATTCTTCTATTCCCCACTCAAATGCGTTTCATTTTCTCAGTAAGAATTCAGTTTTGTCACATAGCAAAGTTGGTTCAAAGCCGATGGCGCACGTTAACATGTCTTCCAAACACAGTGAACCCAGCCTTTCTGATGCAGGGATGTTGCTAGAACTCCAGCGTTGTTCTTCACCACCTGTTTCTGTCTGTGATATATCTACTAGTAAATACTCATCCAAAGTTTTCCCATTCACTGTAGATCTTCCAGAAAATTTCCTCCCTTCTCAAGACCGAAATCCTGAAAATTCTACTTTGACTCACTCTATGAATAATCCAATCTATTCATGCAAGCAAACAAATGATCAGTGCAATGATGGCCTTTCTGTTCCATTTATGTATAGTTTTCCAGATGTTCCTATTGCGTCTTCGGGTATGGCTGGAAATGTTAGTAGAATTGCTTGCTCCATGACAGCTACTTTACCTACAACAGAAATCCCTGCTGTTTGTGTTGCATCCTCTCTGGATCGAAATTGCAATTGGAATGTTAGCGAGGATCAGCTCGTTTCAGAGAAAGATTTGTTCGATGGCATGGAATTGAATCTTATCCCAATGATTTCAAGGCAAGAGTGCTGGGATGAAATTGCATTGCCAGTTGTTAGCAATGGTTGCACAGATTTTATATCAGAATTGGAAGTGAGCTCAGTTGCAGGTTCTGGTAAAGGGTTGCTTACAGATTCTGGCAGTTTTGAACAGCTATTGGATGCTGTTGTTACTGGGAATGCTAATATCTCTGTTGGCTGTAATTCTGTAGCTATAGAGAAGACAATGCAAGGACCTCTATTGGATAAACAGTCAAATTCAAATTTTTACACTTGGATTGATGATACTTGTAGTGTCAATGCTGAAGGTTCTGCACTTCATCAGCCCAAGAAGCTTGAGGAATATACCAAAGTAGTTAGAAAAAGAGCTAGACCTGGGGAAAGTGCTCGTCCAAGGCCTAAAGATCGTCAACAAATACAAGATCGCGTAAAAGAGCTGAGAGAAATTGTTCCTAATGGTGCAAAGGTGCTTTCAATCAATTTCTCGTAGATATATTACTTTAAACACGCTTTCTTGGGATTAACTTGCGCTTTACTTGGACATAAACAGTGTAGTATTGATTCTTTGTTGGACCGTACGATCAAGCATATGCTCTTCTTGCAAAGCGTAACGAAGTACATGGACAAGCTCAAACAAGCAGATGAGCCCAAGGTAGGACTACTCTCTCTCTATATGTGTGTGTTAGTTTTAGGCTTCGTTTGAGACGGCTTTTTTCTTGCTTTATAAAACTATTTTTTAGTACAAAAATTCAAATTTTTACACTAGAAAGCAATTTTAAGAAGCAATAAATAAAGCCTTAGTCAGTTCATGTTTAATCAAGTCATTTAACACTTACATTACCTTTTTTTTATTATGAAGTTAATTAGAGAAAAGAATGGGGTTGTCCTAAAAGATAATACAAATGGAGTAGGAGGTGCTACTTGGGCCTATGAAGTAGCTGGGCAAACCATGGCATGTCCAATATTGGTTGAAGATGTTTATTCTTCAGGACAGATGCTTGTTGAGGTAAAACACAGCTCATTTCTTCTTTAATTTTGTTCTGCCCCCTTCATATGCAAAATCTTAGAAGTTCCTCATTGGTCACAGATGCTCTGTGAAGAGGGAGGATTCTTTCTTGAGATAGCAGATGTTGTTCGTGGATTTGGGTTAACCATCTTGAAGGGAGATATGGAGATACGTGAGAGAAAGGTCTGGGCAAGATTTCTTGTGGAGGTAATCGATCAAATTCTGTGAAGTTTTCAGTTTTCACTAGAGGTGTTTGATATTTGACACGACTTGAAAATCCGACTCGAACCTGATCCAAAAATTTTGGGTTAGTGTCAGCCCGAACCCAAAACAGGTTGGGTTTAGATTCAACAATTCGAACCGTTTCAAAAATCGGGTCGGGTTCGAGTTGACCCTTTGATCCGAAATTGACCCGAAACTGACCCATTTTAGACCCGGCAACCCAATATTGACCCATTTTTTACCTGAAAAGAGGAGATTGGCCCGTTTTTAGACCCAAAAATTAGCATTTTTTTGTTGGCCCGGGTCATTCGAGTCGTGTCGGGTTGACCCAGACCTGAAGCGGGTTCGGTTTGGGTCAGGAAAACCGACCCATTTTCAAAAATGGGTTGGGTTCGGATTGACCTGAATAGTGTCGGTTCAATTTCGGGTTCGACCCAAACCCGACCCATAATTCGAAATTGACACCCCTAATTTTCACCAAATTGGATCCATCTTCCCAAAGTAGAAAGATGATCTCACTTCTTATGCAGGCAAACCGAGATGTCACTAGAATGGATATATTTCTTTCTCTGGTACAGTTTCTGCAACAAGCAAGTAACTTTCAAGGCAACGAATTGCATAATAGAGCCATCTCAACTGGACTTAATTCATTGACTGCTTGCCAATGACACGTAACATGCCAACCACTGCAATTAATTGCCACCTTGATGAAGATTGCAGAGTTGATGTTTAGTGATTCCTTCTATTAAGTATCAAATATGATCTTCTCAAGAGTTTTTTCTTATTGATTAAGGCTTCGTTTGGGATGACTTTTTTAGTGCTTCTTAAAGCAACTTTCTAATACAAAATTTTTAATTTTTGTAGTAAGAAAGCCGTCCCAAACGAACCCTAACTTATCAAAAGAAGGTTTAGGATTGTAATGCATGGGCTTTGACAAGGGAAAGTTTGACTGCTTAAGCATAAATTAAGGATATCCACAATCTTTAGTTGCAAAATGTGTTGATAAGTTGGTTGTTAGGATAGGCAGATTTAGGCACTATCTTTGTCTATAACAATGCATAGCATGGGTGGTTGTATGTAAGCTGAGTAGGCCTTCGAGTTGTTGAGTATGTAATTGGAAGGCTCCTCCACAGGTTGCTCATCCACTAACGTAGAGCATATTCAATGCTGTAACAGATAGTTCAAGATGATTAACAATTATCTCATACTTCTATTTATTCATTTTTCTCTTGGGGTCGCAAAAACATTCCCATAGTCATGCCAAATTTTATTGAACTGTTCAAGCAAAAGTTGAAGTTCTATTAAATTTGAGAAAATGATCAAAATGTTCTGTCAATTCTTTGTGAGGGGTAAAATCATCTCCAACTTTTTTGAGGAACCGATTTGATCTCTCTAACTCCTTAAAAATGGGTCTTTTTTATTCTAACATCAAAATTTGAGGTTTATGATATTAAATCAAGATGTATTTAAGTCATTCTTTTAATTAAATAATTTATTAAATATAATTTTTAAGTAATAATATTTTTTTAAAAAAATTATTAATAATAGCAAATAGCATCACCCTTTGAAAAAGGAAACATGTTCATTTGTGTTATAAGTGTTTGAGGGGATGCAATAAGACCTAATCTTACACTTGTGTGGCTTTAGTTAATTTGCAAAAATAACTACAAGGAAACTTGATAGGGAAAGCTAAGAGGCATGGTGCAATGTTGAACTTCAAGAAAAAAGCTTTAGGAATGGTTAATGATCAATAAATTTTAGAAGGTTTTGAACCATACTTACTCCCACCAGAGACTCAATATTCATAACATTGCTGAGATGAAGCCATTTGCTGGTTTCAAAGATCAAGCTCCTTCACTACGACCAGGCAATTTCAAATTGTTTCAATTGCTTAGTTCTTTTTATGGTTGGCCCCTTCAGAGTAATTATCTTCGTTCATTATCCCCCTCTGCATGTCTGTATTTCACTTTTCAATTTAAGCATCTTATCCTTCAACTCTTGGGCCTCTACATCCATGCTCATGCTATTGTATGCTTTTATCATTGTGGCAAAGGTGATATAATCAGGCTTACATTTATTTTCCTTCATGAGCAAGAACATTTCTTTCATTATATCTATATCTCCAGCTTGCCCATATGCATTGATTACACTGTTAAAGAAAGGAGTATCAAGAACAACATCAGTGTTTTTTATCTCTCTAATGAGGAAAGGAACCTTCTCTACAAGCTTTGCTTTGACATATCCACTAACAAGCGAGCAGTATGTAATGGAGTTTGGTTTGATTCCTTGAGTTTTCATCAACCTAAAATAATACTCCATCTTATCAACTTTTCCAGCTTTCCCAAAACATTCAATCAATGTATTGAATGTAACTAAGCTGGGAGAAAAATACCTTTTCTTCATAAAGTTCATAATTTTGTTCATTTTCTCATACTTTCCAATCTTACCATACGAATTAATTAAAATATTGAATGTAGTCAGATCAGGGTCAATGCCCATGTGCTGAAACTCGACATACCACTTTTCCATTTCGCTTATCCTTCTGTTATCTCCATACGCAGATACGATCGAGTTCAATGTGAATATATCAGGTACACAGCTTCCACATTCAAGCATCAAAGTGAGAGAATTCTCCATTTCTTCAAGTAAGCCAGCTTTGCCATAACCATCTATTATTGTATTATAAGTGACTACAGTACATTGTATGCCCAAGTAAGACATTTCAGCAAGCAGTGAAGGAATCAGATCAAATCGTTGCAATTTAGTGCAGCACCCAATGAGGATGGTGTAAGTGAAGGCATCTGGTTTGCAATCTGAGATAGTTTTCATTTCATCAATAGTACTTATTGCTTCATCCAATAAACCAGAATGGCCAAATGCAGCTACTAGTGATGTGTAAACATCTAATGTTGGGTTGAAACCTTCAGAGAGCATGGTTGTGAAGAGTGAGGAGGCTTGCTCTGGCTGCCTGCACTTCCCTAGCATCATTAATAGCCTTGCATAAGTTTGACCTTTTGGACGATACCAGTGTTGTTTGCGAAGTAATGCAAAAATCTGAAAGAAAAATATCAAAATCAAAATGTTGACATGTGTACTTTGGTGGAGCTATATGAGTAGATTTTAGGATAATTTCACAGATTCATTTTAGAAGATGTTTGGCAAATAGGTAAACCTTAACTGCAATTTTCCTTTTAGACCATCTCCAACCGAAAATCTCATTTTTCACTCCAAAATGCCGTGAAACTAGAAAATGTCTTGACTCATCTCCAATGGAACTCCATTTTGCCCCATTTTGCGAATGTAACAGTCTTTTTTTCTTTCACGCATTTCTTCAACAAGTTCGGTAGAGACATAAAAATATCGGAGGTGAACAGTGCAACGCCAATATTGGCGTCCCATTGTTCACCTGCAACCAAATAGCAGAAATTTTACCGTTCAGCTGGAGCTCGCGAGTGACGCCATTCAACTGTTTGGAGTTTGGTTGGAGATGCCCTTACATTCATATTGGTATTGCAGAAGATCTATCAAGAACTTCATTAAACAATATCCATTGTATTCATCTTCCAGCAAATATATTCTACACAACTAGTGAAAAAATATGCAGAATCAGTCAGAGGAGACAACCCAGTTTTGTAGGAGTATAGATTATATAGTATGTCTGTTCTGTATCTGGGCTGTGTTTTAACGGGAAAAAGATTGGTTCTGGGTGTCCCTAATACAATGTTGTACTCAACTAATGCTGATTTTGTGTCTGAAATAGTCTCATCAGCTAAATTTAACTGATGATGGCTGCCTAATTGCTCCCCTGATAGGGATTTCGCTCTCTTTTGAGAAATTAGGGATTCAAAATCATATGATTTTAGATTTTCTACTCAATATTGTTAGAAAAATAATTGATGATAACATAGCCAAATATTTATAGGAACGTGCATTCAACCAACCAAAATGTAAAAGATTGAGAAAATGGAGGGGAAAGAAAAAGAGAATTTCATAAAGAAGAATAACAAATGAATTTTTCAACTCTTTCATTTTTTAGCAATCATACTAACTTCAACTCCTTGGGAACCTAATTCAAGCAATCAAGATTAACTATCTCTGTATAAAAAGCTCAGAGTGAACACCCAAAATCCTTATAGCTTCCAAACTAGCAATCTCCAAGGCAACAATCTAATCCGAGAGAGGACATAGAAGGGCATTCAATAAAAAATTAAGAAAAAAAAAAAAACTTTTCCATTAAAAAATGAGGGAAAAGGGGAAAAAAGAATGACCTTGAGGGCGGATTCCCATCGATTACTGGCGATGGAGTCGTCGAGCGCCTCAAGAACTGCCCTAGGCCAGAGGTTATTAAACTTGGACGACCCTGCTTTCCTCTCAATGCCTATGACTGCCGCTTCCGTCCTCAAAATTTTGGATAGTTCCCCCTTCGATGTCTTCAAGAGTCCTTCAAAATCGGAGCTTTTCTTTGCCGAGAAAACAGGAAGCGAACGTCTTCTTTCCCCTGGAGGATCAAAGGGAGAAGAAATGGACCATGAGGAAGAGGTGATAGAATGGAGTTCCATTGAAGCGGGGTGGAGACGAATGGAAGAGAACGCCTGAGGCAGGAAAGCTGAGTGGCCAGGGATAAGAAGTTGCTTGCTTTCTGCGGCGACCGCCGGTTCATTTTTGAGTTATCTCCTGAATTCTATTATGATATGTTATGATTATTTGTTATATCTACTGAATTTTAATTTATTGTGTTATGATTTTTTATCATATCTATTGAATTATACTCTATTATATTATGATTATTCATTTATTTGTTAGTATTTTGTATTACACTCTATTATGTTATGATTATTTATTATATTTCTTAAATTGTACATAGTTATATTATATATATTTCTCATATCTCTTAAATGATACTTTGCTATGTATAGTTGTTTGTTATTTCTTTTGAATTGCACAATGTTGTATCCATTTTTCATGTTCGAACCTTGTTAAAATTGATTTGAATTACGCTGGAATCATATTTGAATCTTGCTCAACGCTTATTTGATTCAAGTTCAAGTCTCACTCTAATCTTGTTCATATAGAGTTTTAATTCCGCTTCAACCATGTTCGAATCATGTATGCAGTTTATTTGATCGTTATTCTAGCCATGACCAAACCCTATCTAATTCATGATTCCAACAAAAAATTAATATGATTTAGGCTTTGTTAGCACAAGTGTACAGCTGGCAAGAGGTCCCAATAACCGGTTTACATTTATGTTATTTACACTTCTTGATGTACGAGCCGACCCCACGTAGTGGGATAAAGGCTTGATGTTGTTGTTGTTGTTGTTACACTTCTTGATGTACGACTCATACTATAAGCTTATATATTATAAGGCTCATCTCTGAAAAACGATATCTTTGAGATAATTCCATTCTAGCCTTTCCTGTCTCTATTTCCTCTTTCCATTTCGTCTCTTCTGCTCACATGGTATCAGACGTCTCTGCCTAGCGGCTTTCGCTCTTGCCTTCTTCAAATCTCCGTCCATGGCCGACCAGGGTTCATCGACCTCTACGCAAGAAGTATCTCAGATCTCAGCTATGCTGGAAGAATTTGTGATTCCCGCGCCTCTGAAATTTCTTATCTCAAACCTCAAGAATCTCGTTCCTACTCTCCTCACCACCGAAAACTACTCCATATGGCGCTTTCAAATTCACCAACACTTCGCCGCCAACGGCTTCAGCGGACATCTCAATGGCACAAACTCGTGCCCTCCCGCCTCTGCCGCGACAGATTACCGCCTATGGAAACTCATAGATCGGAATATTGTCTCCGCCATCTTGTCCACAATCTCCCCCGCCGTGCTCCCTTACGTCCTCACATTATTGACCGCTCATGAGATCTGGTCGATTCTTGAAGCCAGACTTCAACCGACAAATCGCTCAAGGGTGATTCAGCTCAAGAACGAGCTACATCAAGTTCAAATGAAAGACAAGACAATGCAAGAATATCTGACCCAAATCAAGAACCTCGTCGACAACATCGCGGCCGCTGGTTCCACGCTCGACATCGAAGACATCATTCTCTACACGCTTAACGGACTTCCACCCATCTACAATCCCTTCAAGACCGCGATCCAGACTTCTCAGCATCCAATTTCTCTGGACGTACTCTACTCACTATTATGCAGCGAAGAGATTAATCTCCAGCAAGATCACTCCAAAGATCTTAATTCACCATCCGACAACACTAAGCTGATATATGTTCGGAACAAACCCAACCGTGGCTGGTTCAACCGATCACAAAATAGAAATCAGTATGGACGTCCCAATTCCAACAACAACGCACCACAGTCACAAAATCAATCCAACACTCCAAGACCAGTATGTCAAATATGCAGCAAGACCGGTCACACCGCTTCCAACTGTTGGTATAGATGCAATCTTCAATATGTACCATCAACTCCAACGAATCAGAGAGCATACTACACGCAGACACAACCCTCCTCGAACACCTCGGCGTGGATTCTCGACTCCGGAGCCACATCTCATTTGACTCCAGACCTTTCCAACCTGACAAATACATCATCCTACCATGGGCTTGATTCTGTTTCGGTGGCAAATGGTAGCACAATTCCTATTCAACACACCGGAAATGGACTCCTTCCTCTACCAGAAACCGCTCGTAAGCTAAAACTTTGCAACATTTTACACGTTCCGTCAATCTCTCATAATCTTTTATCTATTTCCAAACTAACAACCGACAACAAGATTTCAATTCTTTTTGACGCTAATGGCTTTGTGATTAAGGACACTCAGGACAATCGGCAACTTCTTCGTGGTCACAACCATAATGGGCTATATCAAATCCATACTCCCACTATCTCTGACGCAGCAGCTCTTCACGTCTGGCACCGCAAAGCCTGTCTGTGGCACGCCCGCCTTGGGCATCCGAACCAGCATTCCCTCTCGTCGCTAGTCAATTTTATCCCAGAATTACGCAATTCTTCTAGTTCTACAAACATTTGTATTTCCTGCAAAGTTTCTAAATCGCATAAAATACCTTTTTCTAGTAGCATTTCTGTTAGCACTAAACCATTTCAGCTTATTCATGCGGATGTATGGGGTCCGGCACCATGTCAGTCTATGAATGGTTATAGATATTACGTAATTTTCATTGATGATTTTACGCGATACTCTTGGCTTTATTTGATGACAGCTAAATCCGAAACCTTCTCAAAATTTAAAAATTTATGCACAATAATTCGCAATAACTTTAACAGTACCATAAAAAACTTTCGCTCCGACGGAGGCGGCGAGTTCACAAGCAACCAATTCACAGCCTACCTTCTTGAACACGGGATATCGTCAACTTTGCTGTCCTCATACTCCAGAGCAAAACAACATGGCCGAGAGAAAGCACAGACATCTTCTTGACATAACAAGGACCTTACTACATGCCGCAAGTCTACCACAAAAAATTTGGGCTGAATCCTTGACGACAGCACATTATCTCATCAATTGTATACCGAGCAAAGCGACAACACCCAACAGCCCTCATTTTCTACTCCATGGCCGGCATCCCTCTTACTCGCATCTTCGCACGTTCGGGTGCCTCTGTTTTCCGTGGCTGAAGCCTTACACCTCCAGCAAACTAGATCCTCGTTCTCGTGAATGCGTGTTCCTTGGCTACTCTACAATCCACAAAGGGTACAGATGCCTCGACATCCAATCTAACAGAATCTACATATCAAGGCACGTCACGTTCTGCAAAGACATCTTTCCTTTCAAGAACATGAACCCACATAGCCAACCAACCACTCAAAATCCACCCCAATCTCCCCTCCTTCTCACCCCTGCCTCAGCAATGTCCTCCGTCTCAAGTCTCACCTAAATCTCAAACCCAATCAAACACCAACACAACCAATAACAGCCCCTCCCCCTCTCCAATCTCCAGCAGGACTCCAAGTTCGACTGTCTCCGTGCCCAAGCTCCTTCCGCAAACAAGAACTCATCAAATGCACACAAGACTAATGACGGGTATTACCAAACCAAAGAAGATCTTCGATCTTTCGGCAATCTCAACGCTCGAAGAACCTCCACAATCATTTGCTCAAGCAGTCAAACATGATCGATGGCGAACTGCAATGACAGTCGAACATCAAGCACTTCAGAACCAAGCTACGTGGTCTCTCGTTCCACGTCCAGCCAACCAACCAGTCATAAGCTGCAAGTGGACATTCAAGATCAAACGCCATCCCTCTGGTAACATCTCTCAGTACAAAGCTCGTCTCGTAGCTCTCGGATGTTCTCAAGAATTCGGCATCAATTACACGGACACATTCAGTCCTGTTGCAAAGATGACAACGATTCACGTCCTAATCATGCTAGCTTCTCACCAACAGTGGCCTATTCTTCAACTCGACGTTTCAAATGCATTCCTCCACGGAGATCTTCAAGAAGACGTCTACATTAAGCAACCACCAGGGTTCGTCGATTCCACACATCCGGACTTCATGTGCAAGCTTCACAAGTCCATCTATGGACTTAAACAGTCTCCAAGACAATGGTTCAACAAAATTACAACATCTTTACAAGCTTTTGGATTTATTTTCAGCAAGGCCGATCCTTCACTACTAATCTATACAAAGGATAACACGCGGTTGTTCGTTCTCATCTACGTCGACGACATCTTGGTCACCGGAAACGATAAGTCCCAAATCGAACATCTCTTACGTCAATTACATTCCAAGTTCAATCTTAAACAATTAGGTGACATATCTTTGTTCTTAGGAATTCAGGTCGCAAAAACCAAAAAAGGCTACTTCTTGAACTAACAACACTACGCAAAGCAACTACTTCTTTCCGCCGGATTTACCAACAGCAAAGCTGCTCTCACTCCCATGTCGCTCAAACGTAACAACAGCACCGGCAACACGGAACCCTTCTCCGATCCACAGCTATATCGAAAAATCGCAGGTTCGCTTCAATGCCTATCTATTACTAGACCAGATATCGCTTTCACTACTAACTACATTTGTCAACACATGCACGAACCCTCCGTCAATGATTTCCAAACACTCAAACGGCTGCTACGCTACGTTCAAGGGACTACCGAACTCGGCATTCCAATAGATCCAGGAGACCTCCAGCTTCGTGCCTTCGCTGATGCAGATTGGGCCGCAGACAGCTCGGATAGGCGGTCAGTCACCGGATTTTGCACATTCTTGGGCAATACAATCATTTCTTGGTCAGCCAAAAAGCAAATCACGGTCGCCAAATCATCGACTGAAGCAGAATATCGTTCGATCTCCTCTGCAACATCCGAAGTAATTTGGCTTAGGCGGCTGCTGGCCGAGCTATGCATAACTCAAATCGGACCAACTCCACTCTACTGTGACAACACCTCGGCCATAGCTCTTGCCAACAACACGGTCTTTCACGCTAGGACAAAGCACGTAGAAATCGATTATCACTTCATCAGTAATCATATCAAGGCCGGCGATCTCAACATCAGCCACATAAGCTCCGACGAACAGACCGCAGACATACTCACCAAATCACTACCCAAAGAGCGGTTCTTCTACTTACGAAACAAACTAAACATCCGGTCTCAGGATGCTTAGTTTGAGGGGGCATGTTAGCACAAGTGCACAGCTGGCAAGAGGTCCCAATAACCGGTTTACATTTATGTTATTTACACTTCTTGATGTACAGCTCATACTATAAGCCTATATATTATAAGGCTCTCTGAAAAACGATATCTTTGAAATAATTCCATTCTAGCCTTTCCTGTCTCTATTTCCTCTTTCCATTTCGACGCTTCTGCTCACAGGTTTTGTTTGGGACAGTTTTTTATTGCTTCTTAAAATAGTTTTTTAATAAAAAAAAATTAATTTTTTTGCATTTGAAAGTTGCTTTAAGAAGCAATAAGAAAGCCGTCCCAAATGAAGTCTTAAACATGGACCAAACTCTGCTAGAATATGTTTTGAATCTTGTTCGAACAAATATCAGTCATGATGAGTGATGAGCTTTGAATAAGTACTACACAATCAAGAAATGGGAGCATTTTGGACTGAAATAAACCTTATGCATATTTTTTTTTCAAGGACATAAATAGTATATATGTATTTCGCAAATTTTTGCTATTAGGGGAATATAAATTCAAATTTTGCTAGAAAAAGGGGTTGCTTTTTTCTTATTTTTTTAAAAAGTTTCTTGTAAGACATTTGACATTTATAAAAAATGAATTCCAACAATTACTTTTAAGAGATGTGCTAATTTTAAATTTTTTATGCTGACCTTTCTTAAAACTTAGACTTTTTAAGAAGTAAGATATTTTATTCATTTATAATTACAATCATAAGCTTTAGTAAATTTATTATTAGTATATATATATATATATATATATAATTATAATTATATTAATTAAATGTAATTAATTAAATTTATTATTTTTAATTAATCAAAATTTTAAATTAATTATTACTAATTAATAGTTAAATATAAATACTTACATATGAGTTGGTAATTATAATGATATGTTCTTCTCATAGTTAGAGAAGATTGATTTATAACGTAAAGCGGTGGACATTAACAACAAGAAGGCAAGTAACATCAGTGTTGGTTAACAGCTAGTAATGGTCATTGAACATTAGCGATGGGTGTCAAATGATAGACAATGACAATTGATGCTCATAAAGAACAAGAAGTTGGTGTGTGACCTTTCTCTGGCTATCACAAAAGAACATAAGACAAAAGAAGCAACTAAGAAGTATAGATTGGAGGTTTCAAATAAGGACCAGAATTCTAGAATTCTCCTACCAAAAATTAAGACAAATGATAAACGTGCAAGATCCCATGTTTACACACACTAAGCAATATGTACTTTTTCGACACAACTTTTCTCCTATCATCAGAGAATACCTAGCGTCTAAGGAAGCTTAATATGAGTAGGGATGGACATAACACTACAAATGGTTGATTTGACGTTTCAAATGAGTGTGAGAGCTTTGAGGTTTTCTTACGAATCAAATATTTCTTTACGCTAACTTTATGCTAATAATGTGTTGAAATATTATCTAATTGTAAATTTAGAGTGAAGCATTTTCATTATTTATACTATGTTGTACTAGATTAATGTTTAAATTAGATAAACAGATCATTCTCTTATTTTAGAAAGTGATTGGAAGATCTATCCTCTTGGCATGCTCAATGGAACTAATTATGCTAAGATTATTGGATGGCCAAAGATAGTAGCAAAAAAATTAAAGTCAAATAAATATAATTTGTTATAATTTTTTTAATGAAAATTTAGAAAATAAAAAAAATCTTTAGGATCGCCCAAATTGAAACATATCAATTAATAATAGATATATGATAAAATATATCACCCTTTCTAAATTTTAGAGAAGGCTTCAGTATATAATAAGTAAAATCAAGATATTCGATATAGATAATAAAAAAAATAAGATTCAAATAACCACATTAGTCCTTATATGGCAAGCGGAAGTGGACTTCATTTAGGACTCATTGAAAATGTTGAGGTAGTTACTAATGATGGCATAGTTAGCCCTCCCATATATGTGGCTCATGGAGGTTATAGAGGCCATTGAGCAAGTATAATTTGATCTTTTCTCATAGATGGAGATAGCAAAGCTATGAGACAACAATATGATAGCATAGGAAGGTCATTGTAACTACTGAGTATGGATAAATCAATCTTTATCATGAAGGTGGGTACTAAATAACCTAAAGGTGATAATGTGGTGTTGTAGATTGGCTGAGGATGTTAATGAAGATGACCATATCAATTCTCACTTGGAGGTGATGAAGAGACAACATGAAGATGATGACGCTATAACATACAACATAACAAGGCCGAATGAAGCAATCAATAAGTGAATAATAAAGCAAATAGGTGCTTGTGTAGGAAGATACTAAAGATGCCTTAATTTATTCTTCTTTTGAGATATAACAAATAGAGGGGTCTATAGGTATTGCTATGAATAGTAAAGAAGCATGGTTGGGCTTATAATTTTTTAGAAAAAAAAAAAAAGTAGAACTAAAGTATTCAGGGTCGATTGATGATTGAAGTTGGTTAAGATAGCCTTTCTCATGAAACAATGGAGGATAATTTAATGGCTAAGAGCTAGTCAATGAGTGAATATGTGCTAACATGACATTCACTCTTCTAATAGATATTTTAGATAGATCTCTGAAAAATTCCTACATTTTATTGTTCGCTACCTCTAAGTTGTATTGTCTTCACCTCTTGGAAGAGTATTATCCCATTGCTTAACAATATTACATTTTTAATGATGTTGATGTTATCAATAACCTAGTTTAAATTCAGGGGAAGAGCTGCCTTTGTAATAGCGCAACTCAAGCCACTACCAGTAATAGCCATTTCATATAAAAAGCACGCCTTATCGATTTTATTTTATTTTTATTTGATTGCACACGAATTATTCTTCTAACTTAGATGATCAAACAAATTTTTTTGAGCCAAAAACCAGACTACATAACAAAGAGTAAAACAAAATACAATATCAGAAGATGAAAATATCCAAAGATTCGGGCTCAGGAAAGAGGCCTCGCATAGGTCTGCAAACGAACCGAGCCGAGCCGAGTATGTGAGTGTTCATGTTTGTGTTCATTTAATATCAGTTTGTTCAAGTTTGGTTCATGTTTGTTCGAGCTTTATTATTTGTGTTCATGTTTGATTCATTTAAATTAATGAGTGTTCAAGTTCGGTTCAATGTTCAGTTCATGTTCGTTCGTTTAGTGCTTATCGAGCTTTAAACAAACAAACATGAACGAACTATAAACGACCTCCACTTTTAGATGGTCATTAACTTAACAAACGAGCTTTATCGAGCTTCCTAACAAACGATTACATCGAGCATGTTCGTGAACATATGTAACAAATTTTTTTTAACTATCGAACAAACACGTTCATGAACATATCTATGAACAAACATATTTTATAATAAAAGCAATTGTCTATGTAACAAAGGAAATAATTTATATTTATTAATTATATAATCAAATATTAATTATTTGTATCGAGCTTATTCACAAGTTCAAAAATTGAACACGAATCGAGCTTTTATCGAGCTTAACGTTGAGCTTGTTCACGAACTTCAAATGATATTGTTTGCGAACATAAATGAGTCGAATACATTAGTGTTCAAGTTTGTTTATTTAAGAATCGAGTATTTAAAATATTGTTCAAGTTTGTTTGTTTAGTTAATTAAACTATCACAAACGAGCTTTAATCGAACCGAACAACGAGTAGCTCATCGAACGCTTGATTCTCTTGCATCCCTAGCCTCGCACATCCGCCCCCAAGCCAAGCAAGGGCCATCCAATAGAGGCAACAAACCAATATCCAAAACCAACCACAAAAGTCTCCCAAACCGAAAGAATAATTACTTCCAAGATTGCCAAGCAAAAGCGGCCCAAGAAGGGCACACAAATGCCTCATCATCATTGAACCGAATAACAACCAAACTACCTTTTCATAAATACTATACTTTTAAGATGCAAATTAATTATCAAGAAATTATAAATAAGGATCATTTTAATATTACTTTCCTTTTTTCTATATAATATACTACTTTTTCTAAAGAGTCTCAAGATTTTTATGATTTTATATATTTGTGCATTAATGGATATGCTCACAATAAAAAAATATAATAAATGTTTAAAAGATTTTTAATAATTTCAAAATTATTTTATTTGTACATTTATTTGGGGAGTATGTATCTTTATTCTTTGATTTAATAATAAAAAAAGGAAAAGAAATCATGTGCAAACTATAAATGCCATACCCTATAGAAAAGACCAAATTCATATTCCCGAAAAAAAAAAAAAGACCAAATTCATTCATCGATCGCTTTTAAGGTATAATCCACAATTAACAGTCATATTCAATAGACACTAGTGGCAGCACCTCGTTTCACCCACCGAAAGCCTGCTCTCACGCTAGGCCAGGAAGGTCTAAGCAGCTGCCACGTCAGACAAGTCAAAATATTTGGTCTAATTTTCACAGAATTCTAAAAAAAGCAATGCCCGCAAACGGAGTTCGAAAAGGTCAATAAAAATGGAAACCAAGACCTGTCACCATAGAATTGTTCGACGTCGCCTTCTCTTCCGGACGAGAGGTTGTTAGGGTTTTTTTTACCCCTCACATTCAATTTTAAAACGCTCGCGTTGCTCTTTTCCCTTCCTCTTTTTCTCTCTCTGGCATTCTGAAAACTTCCTGTATTGTTTTGTCTCGATTAGTTCTATGCCTTTTGTGTGCTAGCTAGAAGCTAGCTCAGTTGGAAAAGGTTTCGAAGTTGTTGATCTGGTGGTGGAGGATGATTGGCCGGCGGAAGGAGGAGGAGGAGGATGGCAGGGCTATGAATCTCGTCTTCCTTCCTTTGGCTTTCAACGCGTTCATTGTTGCATCTGAAGCGTTCTCGGAAAAAATCTCATCAGATCGCGATCAAGATTGCTGTTAGACAACAGCCGGCGTCAAATCGCGTTAGATCCATTCATTTCTATCCACCATCCTCTCTCTCTCTCTTTCTCTCCGTTTTTCCTCTTTTTTTTTTTTTGTGGAAAGACGTTTGAGGCGATGGACCCTCAACATAGCGGGTGCATGAGTGAAGGTAACAGCAGTGGCTACCCAGATGTCGAGTACATTGAGATGGATCCCACGGGGCGGTACGTCCGGGTATGATTGGATCAAAATAAAATTTTTTTGTTTTGTTTTTTTTAGTAATTTTAGGTGTATTCGATATTGTTAACTGTAGGGCTTTGTGTGGATTGAAGGAAAATAGATAAATTGACAAAAATTAGCTCTCTTTTGATTAATTTTTTTATATCATCAGATAAATTCTTAGTCGAATATATATATATACATTTTATTGATTTTTCAATATGACGCATCTTTAATTTTGTTCCCCTCTTCTTGATTTTTTTCCTTATATTACTCTTCTGTTGATATTTGCAGTACAAAGATGTTTTGGGGAGAGGGGCATTTAAGACAGTGTAGGTTTATTACATCATCTGTAGTTGCTATATTTAACGATTGTCTTTCTGGCAATGCTAATTGGAAATATATAGAATATATTTTGTTTTAGCATTAAATTGATTTTTTTCTTAAAATCATGTAATAGATATAGAGCTTTTGATGAAATTGATGGGATAGAAGTGGCTTGGAATCAAGTTAGAATCGATGAGGTGTTGCAGTCTCCAGAGAATCTTGAGAGATTATATTCAGAAGTCCACTTGCTGAAATCCTTGAAGCATGATAATATCATTAAGTTCTATAACTCATGGGTTGATGATCAGAAGAAAACCATAAACATCATAACTGAGCTCTTCACTTCTGGAAATTTGAGACAGTAAGATCTTAAATTTATTCATCTTTTTGTTATTTCCTTTTTTTTTCTTTTGTTATAAGCTTTTTCTTTTAATATGTAGATATCGTAGAAAACATAAAAATGTTGATTTGAAGGCAATAAAGAACTGGGCAAGACAAATTCTTCGTGGTTTGGAGTATCTGCACAATCACAATCCACCCATTCTTCATAGAGATCTGAAATGTGACAACATATTTGTCAATGGAAATCATGGTGAAGTTAAAATTGGAGATCTTGGATTGGCTACTGTGATGCAGCAACCTCTTGCCCATAGTGTTATTGGTAATGTTTAAAATTTGTATTTTTATTTTGAAATGCTGATTATTTTAGTTGGATATTGAAACAATTTTTTAATTTGTTTAGGTACTCCCGAGTTTATGGCTCCAGAACTTTATGATGAAGAGTATAATGAGCTAGCTGATATCTATTCTTTTGGTATGTGCATGCTTGAGATGGTTACTCTAGAATATCCTTATAGTGAATGCAAAAATCCAGCTCAGATTTACAAGAAAGTTACCTCGGTAATCTTTTCTTGAAATTTAAAATCATCATAATGTATATTCAAAATTCTCTTTTTAAAAAAAAAATAAAATTGGTTTTACACTTTGATAATGTAGGGAATCAAGCCGGCTGCACTTGCTAAAATAACAGATAGTCCAATAAGTCAATTTATTGAGAAATGCTTGGTTCATGTCTCTGCAAGATTGTCTGCCAAAGAGCTTCTGAAAGATCCTTTTCTCCAATGTGACAATTCATCCGAGTCTTGTCATACTCCTATTCAATTAACAGCTCAAGTTCCTAGTGATACCAACTTTCAGTCAATTTCTACAGATGTAGAATCTGATTATAAGTCGCTTCCTATCAGCACTGGTGCAAATAGTAGCCATGAGATCCCTGCTTTTCACATTCTTGAATTTGTGCGAAATAATAGAGGCACTGAATTTAGATTGAAGGCAGAGAAAGTTGATGATAATTCGATCGCGCTTGTCTTGCGGATTGCAGATTGTAATGGTAAGTTTTAGAGGAGATTGAATGGATTGTTTTACTTATTAGTATTATTATTTTCATCTCTGTGTCCTATTTGATTTATTTTTAAAACTTTTGCTTGCAGACAATGCGAGGATTGTTCATTTTCCATTTTATTTGGATTCTGACACAGCACATGCAATATCTGCTGAAATGGTGGAACAATTAGAATTGCCTGATTATCATGTTGATTTCATAGCTGATTTTATTGATTTCGTGATTATGAAGCTAGTTCCTGGTTGGAAACCTTCGATAGATAACTCTTCTAATGGAATAATGAGTCCATTGATGGAATGTGAAGTAGGTGGTAAGGATGAAGCTTCGCAGCAGTGTCAATGTGCTTTGCCATCTACCATTTCTTCTGTTGATATTGGGATAGATCAGCTTATTTTATCTCAGCTTGAAGTCAATTCATACAAGAAAGTGGATGAAAATATGTGTCATGCAGATTGCAATTCTTTCTCCAGTCCTGTAAACTATGATGATAAATACTCTCAAGGATCAGCTATGTCCTTAGTGATGACTGCCAGTTGTAAAAGTTTTAGCGAATATGCAACAGACATTGATTCTGCCGCTGCGGATTGTGATATTGGTTAGTTTTAATCTTACCGTTATCTATGGTTTCGTTTGGGACAGCTTTTCATTGTTTTCTAAAATTTCTTTTAAAAATTTTTAATTAAAACACTGTTTTAGAAAGCATTAAGAAAACTGTCCCAAATGAAATATATTTATCACGCAGATTACAGTTATTACTGCAAGCTGTATTGAAGTTTCTCGATAATATAAACATGCTAAGAACATTATTGTCAATAATTCTTTTAGGCAAATGCCAAGAAGAATTGAAAGCGGAGCTTGAAGCTATTGAAGCTCAATATCAACGGTGGTTTCAAGATCTGTCAAGGAGGAGGGAAGAAGCTATTGAAAGCGCTAGAAAGAGGTGGTCCATGAAGAAGAGAGATGACTAATTGTGTTTCTCCTCTTTTTGTAAATTTGATGTATTTCTTTGTTATGTTTTATTTTGAAGGTATACAATAATTGTATAACCAATCAAAAAACATGATATAAAAACATTATGCAGTTATAGAAGATTGTATATGAGTAGTTGATTGAGAATAATAAAATTTTAGAGTATGATATATGTTGGCCTTAGCAATAGCAACTTATATCAAATTTTATACTGATTTACTCTTCATATTTAACAATTTTATACTTGAATTTTGCTGAACAAAAGAATACTTATTTAGTACATTGAAGTACTTGGAAGTTGTCAATTGTCATAACAGTTATTGATATTATACTTTTATCAGCAATCATTGTATTTATAGCTATGAGTGAACATTTTTTTAGCAGCTGTTGCAAATGGTGAAATTAAGGCTTCGTTTGAAATGGCTTTCTTACGGCTTTCTGAAGCAACTTTTTAGTATAAAATTTTTAACTTTTAAACTAAAAAGCTGTTTTAAGAAACAATAAAAAAGCCGTCTCAAACGAAACTTGACTGTTTCTATGGTGATGATGTGCTAGGCATAACATTTGTTTGAGAAGTAAAACAAGAATATTGAGAAAGTTGAAATTTGAATGATAAAAATGCTTGTTTGGTTTCATGGTAGAATCACAGTGCTAATACTTTCTGTTTTTCCATAAATTTTTTTCTGTAAATCCCTGTAGTGATGGTAAGGTAATGGTTGCCAAAGCCCCAAACCGAATGGCCAGGTAAGTGCTGCCAAAGCGCCAAACTTTAATGTTCTTTTAATTGAGTTTTATTCAGTTATTTCTGTCTGTAACTATCTTTGTTATTGGTTCCTATTAGACCCTCTCTTGTTCTGTCATTTCTACTGGCAACCAAAACAAATAACCTTCATCAAGGTCTTCTGCTACTACTGCAAAAAAAATTTACAAACTTTTATCAGGTTACAAGCTTTATTCCAAGTACTGATAAACCGAATGTACTTAGGTCATATTAGAGTAGTTTTACAAATACAGAACCCCAATGATCTGACCTTGAGCCTATCGATTCATAATCGGTTCTAGGGTTGCAAATGAACCGAGCATTCAGTAAGCTACTTGTGGCTCGACTTGATAAGTACTTATTCATGTTCGTTTGATAAGGTAAATGAATGAACTTGAACACTTTTGATAAATAATCGATAACTAAATAAATGAGTTTAAACAGATTGATGTTCGGTTCGTTTATGTTCATGAACAATATCGTTTAATGTTCACGAACAAGCTTGTTAATAAGCTCGATTAGAACTATATTAGAGTTTTAAAACTAAATATTATTAAATTTAATAATTTATTTTTATTTCTCGCTTTCGCCTAAAATCACGAACAACTCATTCTCCAAACAAATATAAGTTGAATCATAGATTGTTTGTTCGTAAATAAGCTCATTTGATAGCTCCAAAATATTAATTAGATATGTTCATGAATGAGCTCATTTAATAGCTCAAGAACACTCATTAGATATGTTTGTGAACCAGTTTGTTTGATAGTTTAAAAAAATTTGCTAGATATGTTCACAAACATGGTTGATGTAATTGTTTGTTAGAATGCTCGATAAAGCTCGTTTGTTAAGTTACTGTACATTTAGAAGTACAGCTCGTTTATAGCTTGATAAGGCTCGTTTGTTTAAAGCTCGATAAGCACGATATGAATCGAACATGAACACCCATTAATTTAAACGAACCTAGTTTGAACACAAACAATAAAAGCTCGAATCAAACTCGAAACAAACTTGAATAAGCTAATAATAAATAAACTCAAACTCAAATCATGCATCAAATGAGGGAGATCAAAAAATTTATTTGAATTCAAACTCAAATCAGAGTAATTCCTAGCAAAGTTATCGTTTAATTTAAACTTATGCAGGTTATTATTTATAGATAGAGTTCCTTTTTTTTTTTAAATTTATTTAGAGAAGGATGAGAACTTAGGCTCCGTTTAGGACAGTTTTAGATGAATAGATGTCTCTAAAACATGCACTCTTATTAATAATCTGATCGTCCAAAGTCACAATCCCCTCATTAGGTCTATTACTATTAAAATTACACTCTATATATTCAGTTTTTTCTTACATTTATGATATTTTTTACTAAAAAATAGCCTTATAAAACATTAAGAAAGCTGTCCCAACTGAATCCTTACTCCTAATATATCAACCTATTCGCTTCTTGCAGAGAAATCAATGAATAAGTTACGAAAAAAAAAAAAAAATCAATGAGTTTGCAACAAGTGCTTATTGTTGGAGAAATTGTTATGTGCAGAGTACAGACGTCGTCCAGAGACTAATAAAAATGCGTCACGTCACCTCAAAAGTGTACCGCGCTCGGTACCAAGTGGTACCAGACGGTTCTCCCGTCCGGTGTCCGGACAGAATAATCTCTCTTATTGTTGGGACTGTTAGCAGCGTATTGTTGGCTGTATCCACTGCCCTACAATTTTTGTTGTCACTGCTTCGCTACTATTACGCCATTACTGCATAATCCAGACTGTTAATATCAATCAATCGAAAGTAGGAACCAACTGGTTGTTGTGCAGAGTTGTAAATAGCGAGATTGCTTGTTAATAAACAATTAAAGATGATCGAGAGAGCTATTTTCAATGTTCTGCGAGAAAATCCAACGATAGGCTTATTGTCCAGCGAAAGAAGACTAAGCTTTTGTTTGGGACAGCTTCCCACTGCTTCTTAAAATGGCTTTTTAGTATAGATTTTTTTAATTCAAGAAATTTTTGTATCAGAAAGCTATTTTAGAAAGTAAGAGAAAAACTGTGTGACGGCTTTTTGCTACTTTTGAAAATAATTTTTCAGTAAAAAGTTAAAATATTTGTATTAAAAAACTGTTTTAAGAAACAACAAAAAAGTCGTCCCAAACAAAGCCTAAGGCCTCTTTTGTGACAGCTTTCGTATTGCTTTTTAAAACTGTTTTTAGTACCAAAGTTTTCAAATTTAAAAAATTTTTGTACTAAACTAAGCTTTCCTTTGGGACATCTTCTCACTGCTTCTTAAAATAGCTTTTTAGTATAGATTTTTTTAATTCAAGAAATTTTTGTATCAGAAAGCTATTTTAGAAAGTAAGAGAAAAACTGTGTGACGGCTTTTTGCTACTTTTGAAAATAATTTTTCAGTAAAAAGTTAAAATATTTGTATTAAAAAACTGTTTTAAGAAACAACAAAAAAGTCGTCCCAAACAAAGCCTAAGGCCTCTTTTGTGACAGCTTTCGTATTGCTTTTTAAAACTGTTTTTAGTACCAAAGTTTTCAAATTTAAAAAATTTTTGTACTAAAAAGCAAGAAGAAAGCCGTTCCAAATGAAGCCTAAAAGAAAATAGAAATATTGATGTCAATAATAAGTGTTGCGTCCTGGAGTATTCGCGGTGGTAGAGAAATATAAAGTTTAGTGTCTTAGCGTTGTACGAAAATCCGGCACGCATTCATATAAGAGAGAGGGTTTAGCATTTATGAGACACCAAGATTTTTATGTGGAAAACCCCTAAAAGGGGGGAAAAACCACTGGCCCTAGCCCGGTTTGAATGAATCCACTAATATAGCAGTTGATTACAAATGAGGCCCTTCCTTGTGGGAATGTCTTAGCTTGATGTATATCTTAAAGAGTGCATTACATGATGTGAATACAAAGTGTCACTGTTGACATGTTCGTTTGGTTGGGAGGAGCGCTCTTCGATGGATGACGTAAGTCAGAAGGACTGTAGTTAGCGGGCAACGGAGGTCAGAAGGACAGTAGTCGGTGGGCAACATAAGTTAGAAGGACCATAATCGGCAGGCGACGGAGGTCGGAATGACTATAGTTGGTGGTTGACCTAAGTCGGAAGGACCGTTGTTTGACGACGAAGGTCAGAAGGAAGGCATCAGGTAGAAATCTAGTGATGAGCGGAGGTTCGGTGTCAAATAGAATTCCGACGTCACTTGGGCGTCGGGCAGAATTCTGACGTCACTTAGGGATCCAACAGAATTTTGGCGTCACTTGGACAAAATTTTGGCATCACTTGGGCGAAGTTTCGGCGTCGGGCAGACATTCGACGTTACTTGGATAGAATTTTGACGTCACGTGGAAGTCGGGCAGAGTTCTTGCGGTGCTCGAGGAGGAGTTTTTTCCCTCATAATATTCTCTTCTTCCTTCTCTTCTTCTCTTCTTGCTTATTCTCTTCTTCTTCTTGCTTGATCGTGTATCGTTCGTCAAACATTTGAAGGTCTTAATGATGTCGGAATTCGACGAACTTGGGCTCGTTGGATTTTTCTCGTCGAGTTGCTCGATTCGACTATAAGTTTGTCATTTTTGGAAACTGTTTGGTAACTCAAATTGTGGTACAAACTTTCCAACAGCGCTTCGGGTACTTGATTTGGACTCATTTGGGCTCGGATTGAGATGAATTTGGTGTCGTTAAGTTCGTATTTCCAAGACGCTCAATTTGACTTTAACTTCATTGAAATTAGAGTTCAGGTGATCCCGAATTTAATTTTTGAAGTTTCAAGCTAAATTTTGCCTCGAGATTCGTGCCTAATCAAGATGATGTTTTGATGATATATCAATAAGTAAAAAGGGAAGGAAGCTAAGCAAAGTCATTTAAAATGTGAAATGAACCTCGATTTATTTTAACTGGTTTTTATATAAATTAATGGTAGTTGAGTCAACAAAGTAGGGAGATATACAAACATGAAAATTGAAGAATCAATGCCTCCCAAGTTTAAGTAGGTTAGTGTGTATGCATCTTAGTTTTAATTGTATTTTCCTAAGTTTAATTTATCAAATTAATCAAAGGGTGATGAACATAGTTTAAAATATGGCAAATATTATATTCTAAAGTAATTGCTTGTATTTATAAATTAATATTTATTTATAAAATATTTAAAAATTTTAATTAAGCTTTCAGACTTCATTTAGAAGCTAATATGAAATACACACATGAGGTTCTTTTTAGTATATTCTAAACACAAAATTAAGATAAAAAATATTATTATGATTATTTAATCATTATGCAAAACATACATTAGGCTATCTTTAGAAAAAACCTACACTTAAAATATATTTTTTAAGCTAGAAAAAGGTCGGGCCTTTTCATGAAATTTTTTTAAAACAAAAAAAAATAATTTCATAACTGAGATAAAATTACAAAATAGGTGATAATCTCAGTCCCA